TACACCATCGCAGGAGCCGTCTCTATAATCCGTATGAGCCACCTATTGAATCCGTACCTCTGTTATGACTGTTACTCCTGTGACCTCTGTTATGTTATGTTATGTTCTGTTTTGTACCATGGTTATGGTTATTTATTTACATAATCTTAGTTTTGCTACTTAAATGATTATTTGTTCAAACTAAATTATCTTAAATATTTTAGTTACATAACTATCTATGGTTATTTTGTGTCCCTTATACTCTTGGCATAATATTTCTCACTATACCATATGCTTATAGTTGTTTACCAATTTTCGGGAAACAACGCAATTCATAAATAGTTTTTTGAAAGTCTTAGACACGGGGCTGCGGAATAGACACATATAGCACGTTTATAGTATTTTTATATGTAAATATCGATATTTTTTTATCAATAAATTTTGTAATAAAAATAGAAACTCCAATGACTCTTTTGGTACCCTCACTTAAATATTATTTCCGCTCACGTTTATTAATTTGTTTAAGAATTGGTCAGAGGTAATTTCAGTTAGTAGCCATCATGATACTTAACCCTTGGGTACGGGGAGCGAGTCGTGACAATACTCATTCATAATTCAAATCAACAAATCAATGAGGTTTATACAAAAGTAGCATTTGAAAAATAACATACTTGAAAATATCTTTACTAAGAAATTATTCATAGTGTTCAAATGCCTGGTTCACCCTTACAGTTGACCCTACACAATTCATAATACACGTAAAAATCGGGTTACAATACAATTCATTATGTTCTTAACTTTTTAATTCTCTTAGGCTTCTTTCTTACTATTTTGATTCATTTATAATGTCTAATGTATGCTTAAGAGTGTTTAGAAATAAAAGAGAACGAAAATCGGAACATGAAATAGCTTTTCAAAATTTTTGGAAACAAGACTTTTCGCTTGAGGGCAACATTAGTCGCTCAAGCGAACCCCTTGGTCTATAAAAATACTAGTTGCTTGAATTCTATGCTCGAGCGACAACTTCTTCGCTCGAGCGATGATGACGAATTCTAGGTTTTTCAGAATTTTGTTTAAATTTCAAAACACATTACCAAGGCTCCAAATTCATGCATGAGATACTCAAATATGCAGAAATATCCTCAATTAGATATATTTGAAGTTAGTTCCACTTATACTTCAAAATTCCATGACTTTATTTGAAATTTAAGCCTTAGATTTCATGTTTTAAAAATCATCTTTCAATTGTTTCTTTATTTTATGAAACATAAAATTGGAGTTACAAACCCCCTTTCAAAAATATTTGCATAGATGAAGTTTAAATTAAAATCAAACTAATTGTTTGATTCTCAACATAAATTATAATTTATCTCTAAATTTGTCCAAATTAAATTTAATTCAATTTTTTTCCCTATCAAGTCCAATTTTAAACCCACAAATTCTAAATCATGAATTGAACTTCAAAAACTCCTTAAAGTTTATGATGCATGTACAATTAGAGTATTAAAACTTATAAAATTTGCTCATGCATGTAGCAATGAAACTCAAATTCATGCAATATTACAAAAATCAAATTCAACATAATTAATTCCCAAGTTTATTTCCATAACCATGAACATGCATTTAACTCATTTCACGTTCAAAACCCAATTTATTTCTAATTCCATGAATATAATCTCAAATCCTTCTCAATCTCAAGTATTATGAGAAGATATTACAAAATCAAACAAAAAATAATTCATTTCTAAATCAATTTCTAAAACCATGAATCTAACTTAATTTCGTCATCTTCTTGTTAATTTCTTTGTAATTACATGAAATTGAATCCAACCATCTCTTAATTTCAGCTTTTAGGTGATTTATCTACAAAATTTAAACTTTAATTTCTTACCTTAAGCCTTCAATGGTTGAATTTCTTGAGTTCACTTATTCCTATTTCAACACAATACTTGAGTTGTTCTTCTTCTTCCATCCAAAATTTTCAACAAGTGGGCTCTCTCTCTCTGTTTGTCTCCAGCCGAACAGGTTGATACACCAAAGACAATACATATCACTTATTCCTTGACTTCAATCACTTCTTTTATTATTAGGTAGCGGGACACTTGCCTCATGCAACACAATGAATAGTCATACATTTCTCCCTTCAAATAATGAAATCTAGCACAATATTATGTCCCTCTACTGAGGGGTTGTTTCAGGTGTCTTAAATAAGTGTATTTTTTTACTTTTTGCAGTAAAAAGTTAAGGAAAAAAATATGGTTATTTTGGTTAACTTTTTGACTTTTTATGAAAAAACGTGTATTAAAAAATTGTATAAATTAGTGTGTAGGAGAAGATTAGAGGATGACTTGTACGGCTGTCATGTCTGCAAAGGTAGAATAGGTGCTAAGAAGTAATTGTCTACTTTTTAGGCATTGCACTGGACGGTGTTGTTCGGCTCGTGGGGGCCATCACGGGTCCCGTTTTGATAATCTAAATCGTTGAATGTGTAGAATTCGTCGAGTACTATATGTCTGTAAAAAATTACATTGATCGGATATCGATAGCTACCTGATTAGATTTGTTTTTTTCCAACCGTTAATTATAACACTTTTATTTTTTTATACAAAACTGATTTGATCATGTAGTTATTGATATCCGATCAATATGATTTTTTTACAGACATATAGTACTCGAAGAGTTCTACATATTGACGGTTTAGATTATTAAAACGGGACCCGTGATGGGCCCTCACGGGCCGAACAATAGTGTGTTAAAATTACACCCCAACTGTGCAATTTTTGTTACACAACGCAACACAGACTTAAGGTTGTCAGATTGATGTGTTGTAATTTTGCGTATAAAATTAATTGTTTAATATTTTTTTGGATGAATAATAATAACTTTTTAATTTTTTGAATAACTTTTTGATTTTTTGTCTTTTTTGTGACATGTCAGAGGTTGTTTGGGGTGTCCTAAATAAGTGCATTTTTTGTCTTTTTAGACTAAAAAGTTGAGGAAAAAAATATGGATATTTGGATTAATTTTTTTGATTTTTTATGAAAAAATGTGTATTAAAAAATTTGTATAAATAAGTATATAGGAGAAGTTAGTGATGGAATAGGCCGTACGGTCGGAAGCGTAAGGGGGTAGCGTGGCAGAGTGTAGGGTAGGAGATGATTCTCTCATTTTCGAGCATAAATTGGACGGTGCTTTTCGGCCCATGGGGGCCACCACGGGTCCTATTTTGCTAATCAGAATCGTGCAATGTGTAGAACTTGTCGAGTACTATATGCTTGTAAAAAATCACGTTGATCGGATATCAATAGCTATTTGATCGGATTAGTTTTTTTTCAACCGTTAACTATAACACCATCCATTTTTTTATACAAAACTGATTTGATCATATAGTTAGCGATATCCGACCAACGTGATTTTTAATAGACATATAATACTCAACAAGTTCTACACATTGAACGGTTCAGATTACAAAAAAAGATCCGTGATGGACCTCACGGGCCAAACAACATAGTCCTTAAGTTTGCTTATGCCTGTGTAATTTATCCTCACCAAAGTCAGGCAAAGACGCCTTCCGTCAGAGTGAGTTGTCTCACAATTTGTCAAAAAATAATTTTTTTAATATTTTTCCGTCAGAGTGAGTTGTCTCACAATTTGTCAAAAAATAATTTTTTTAATATTTTTTTTTGTGAATAGTGATAATTTTTTAATTTTTTTTTGTAACTTTTTGACTTTTTTATAAGTTGTCAAACTAGCCTAACAATATTGTTTTGGTGTCTTCATTCATACTTGAAGAGAAACACCAAAACTTCATTTTTATAAAGAAAAATTACCATTTAGCAGTAGTTTAAAAAACTTATTATGTATTCATAAAAAAAGAAAAATTAAAACTAAAATTATTAATATTTATAAAATTTATCACTTATTTATAATTATTTTTTTAAATTCTCACTGAAATAAATTCCAAATTGTCCTTTTGTTGTTTCTTGGGTAATGGAGATGGATGGTGACTGCATGGTGAGAGTGGTGCAGCAAGAACTCATTTTATATATTTAGAGAAAGTGAGGACTGGGCTTCAATTAGGAGAGGTTTGGAGGGACCATAAGCGTGGCAAGTCTAAGGTAGGGTGGGTTCACCAAACAAGTTTTCCTCCCTTTTGCACGATGTTGACAGATGCTTCAACAATTTTCCTAGTTATTTCTTGTTCTTCATTAAAAAAAAAAAAAAATACAAATTCAAAATTGAAAGGCTACCAATGTTAGGTAAATTTATGTAATAGCTCATAAACATAATACATAAAGAAAAACATAGCTGCAAACAACAATATTGTAGACTTACTTTTTGAAAAAAAAATAAAAATAAATTGCCGAGCTCACAAGTTGAGGCATAATAGATTAAAGAAAATATATTTGCAAACGATAAAATTTAAATTATTTTTTTGTTTGCTTTCAGTTATGGAAGTTAAATTCTACATGGAGTAATGCTATATAAGCAATTAAGTTTTATCAATTTTTGTTTACATGGAATAATTTATCTATCATGTTAATTTTTTTTTAAAAAAAGTAGTCAATTTCATTTACCAAAATGCATGAAAGCTCACAAAAAATAATAATAATAATAATAATAATAACAACTAGAAATAGTGTTCAAAATTTGAAAAAATGATGCGCATTTAAATTTGATTTTTTTGATATGTAACACGTATTTTTAGAAAACAAGCTATTTCATATGTATTAATGCCTAAATCATAAACGCTTTAATTCCTTTTTAAAATTTTATTTGATAATTTAAATTTAATAGATTTTTTTCTTCTAATTTTAGTTTTAATTTTTAATTTATTTATTTCATTTATTTTGGGTTTTATTGGGTGAGGGTAGGAGGTGAAAAGACCCAACAATTCCATCCATGAGTATGAGCCAAAACCATAATATTAGTTGGCCCATCAACCATCGGATTCTTGGGGACCCACATTTCATGAGTAAGGTAGTCCTACTCTAACGAAACATTTTCTTATTTTCGGCGCCAAGCATCCCCTCCTTTTCTTCGTGAATTTTCTCGCCTCCCAAACACACAATAAAATCACAACAATCCTCCTCTCTCTCTCTCTCTCTCTCTCTAACTTTCCTTTCTCTTTCTCTTTCTTTTTCTTGATCTCCAGAAAATAGAAAATGGTGATAGATTTAAGAACCTGCGTGGTCATAGGAGGAAGAGGCTTCATTGGACGATCGCTTGTCCTCAGGCTCTTGAAACTCGACGATCGGATCGTCCGAATTGCCGATTCCGCTCAGTCTGTCCAACTCGACCCCTCCGAGACCAACTCTCTCCTCTCCCAAGCCCTCTCCACCGGTCGCGCTTCCTACTTTCATGTCGATGTTCGCAACAAACCTCAAATCATCAATGGTAATATTTATATATATTTGAATTTATATACGAATATTTGTTTGTTTATATATATATATATATATTATGTGTATGCTGTGATGATCGTTGTTCTTGGTCTATTTGGAGTGTGTAAGTTAATCTAATTTGGGTTGTTTGGTTGCTGAGAAACTGCAAGAAAAGCAAAGAAAACAGAACTTGAGTTATACTGTAAAAACTAAACCTGATTGATTACGACTATAGGGTTTTGAGTTTGGGGATAGAAACTAAATGGAAAGATGGGGATTTGTTGATGGTGTATTTTGCAAGATCATGTGTTGGTAATTTGAAACATCTACTACTAGATGGTTGTTCTTTCTCTATATGGAGTAAACAAGTTGGTTTAATTTAGGTTTTGTTTAGTTGCAGAGAAAATGCTGGACAAGAATTGAATAGAGAATCTCGAGTCGTAAGCGGGATGCTGGTATAGGGTTTAAGTTTGAGTAAAAAATCCAATAGAAAGTATTAACCTTCTCAAGATTTTTTATTTTTATTTTTCCCCCGTTGTTTTCTTTCAACCAACAAAAGTGAGATCCAGGGATCTGGAAATTGCATAGTTTGTAAATGTTTGAGTTAAAATTAAAACAGCTACTGTATGTTTGTGCACTTAATAAGTTTTCTCAAATTTATACTTGTACTGTATATTTGAATATTACCAATCAACATTTACAGACTTCACAGAATGAAATTTGGGGTGGTCTGGTTGATTGTTATATTATGTGATTATCATTTTACGCGAGTTTCTTTTTGTAATTCAATCTATAGCGCATAGAATGCCCTTGATTTGAGTCTAAATGTCTACCCCTCACCCTTTGTTCTTCTTGATGAGATATTTGAGGAAAATGATAGGAAAAATAGAGTTTGAATGCTACATTCTTTCCACACAAAAAAAGAAAAAAAGAAAAAATAAATAAAAAGAAGAAGATTATTTGGCTGAATGGTTGTAATAGGTTCAGTTGAGTAGAGGTTATACTTGTGTTATTGTCCTTGTGTATGCCAATTAGTTTTGTTGTTGAAATAACTCTCTTCTCTGTTTACTATATCTTTTACAGTCTTTGTTTCCTTATCTTTCTTTCTTTCTTTCTTTATGCATTGTGCAGTTATTTATATACATGTCTTTCTATACGTGTTTACGTACCTTTATATAATGATGTGTAGAAATTTAATGTATAAAGAGAAATAAAGAATTGTATTATTGATTCATGTATTGATAGATTACAAGATTCATTAATTACAATTCCTATACAATCTATATATAGAAGAAAATGTGGTAGTAGGTGTAGTGGAGGTGATAGTGGGTTAGGTGAAGTGGAGTGTGTAGTGGAGTAGAGGTAGGTGAAGTGGAGTGTGTAGTGGAGTAGAGGTAGGTGAAGTGGAGTGTGTAGTGGAGTAGAGGTAGGTGAAGTGGAGTGTGTAGTGGTGCAGTTATTTATATACATGTCTGTCTATACGTGTTTACGTACGTACCTTTATATAATGATGTATCACTATTGTACTTTCTTTTATGCTCCATTTACACAGGTTTTGTTATTTGCAAATAAGTCATTATAACTTATTTTCTTTGCAATTATATGCCATTTTTAAAACATAATAAAAAGAAGTCCAAAATTGCAACTTGCAAGCTTAGTCACTATGAGCATTTGTGATTTTAAAATTTATTTTGGGAATATAGAAACCTCTGGAGTCAATCAATACAGTCAGGCTATGTTCTCCAAGATGGGAAATTCTAACATGATGTATCACTATTGTACTTTCTTTTATGCTCCATTTACACAGGTTTTGTTATTTGCAAATAAGCCGTCGTAACTTCTTTTCTTTGCAATTATATGCCATTTTTAAAACATAATAAAAAGAAGTCCAAAATTGCAACTTGCAAGCTTAGTCTCTATGAGCATTTGTGATTTTAAAATTTATTTTGGGATTATAGAAACCTCTGGAGTCAATCAATACAGTCAGGCTATGTTCTCCAATACATTCTCTCCCAAATTATTTCACCATTATTAAAAGAGTGTTGGCATCAGCACCTGATATGCAGGACAACATCATGTGCTAATTTGAAATCAACTAAGGCTGTGTTTGGTTCCTGTATTTGGAAAGGGAAAGGGAAAGACAAAAGGTGTGTGAAATGCAGGTGAAATATAGTTATCTTTCATTTACATTTCACTTACCTTTTCCCTTTCACCTACTTTTTCCCTTTCCCTTTCCAAATCCCTACCTAAATCCTTGAACCAAACATAGTGTAAGTGTTGGCATCAGTGCCTGAATTTTCTTGTCCAAATCAGTTTTTCTCTTAGATGGCGGAATGCTACTGCATCCTTACCTAGTTTCATTCCATACCTTTGTGGTGTCATCATTGTTTTCTTTTTTGATGTTAGCATGCCAACCGTATTTTAAAAATGTGCTCTCTGACTCATCTTTTCTTTGTCTGTAATTGAAACTGATTTACTTTTTTATCATGCACTGTTGCTTTGTTTACCTTTTTCTCTTCATTATTTATATCGTATAATTTTATTTTTTAATCAATGATTTCTAAATTGGGGCTGGAAAACTCATTGCATGTGCCATATACATCCTTTGCAGCTATTGAAGGTTCCTCTGTTGTTTTTTATGTGGAGGCTGGTACCTCATCCACACATGATTTCTATGGATGCTACACACTCATTGTTCAAGGTTAATGCTCTGATTTTAATATTTGTAGTCTTGTTAAGTGAGCTTTTTGGGCAGTGAAGCCTTAAGAGGCAATCATGATTGCTTACTGTTGGATTTCTCATTCAGGTGCAAAAAATGTCATCAATGCTTGCCGAGAGTGCAAAGTCAAGCGACTAATTTACAACAGTTCTGCAGATGTAGTTTTTGACGGTTCATATGATATACATAATGGAGATGAGTCCTTGCTGTATGCTTGGAAAGTATGCCTCTCTTTTACAGTTCTTCATATGTTTTATAGAATATCTCTTAGGATCTTTCCTCCCACTAAGCATCATCCTTTTTCCCCCTCGTCATGTGTACCTTGTTAAAGTTTGAGGACATGTTGACTGACTTAAAAGCTCAAGCAGAGGCACTGTTCCTGTTTGCTAATGATATTGATGGCCTTCTGACATGTGCACTTCGTCCTAGCAATGTATTTGGACCTGGTGATACAGAGATTATTCCGTTCCTTGTGAATCAAGCAAAATTTGGCTGGGCAAAGGTTTGAAATTTTCTTTTGTACTTCATTTATATGTGGTTTTGTTTTCTTAATGTTTCACCATGTTTTGTAAACTTTGTTTTGCTATTGAATATAATGGACTGCATATTAAATTTTGGTTGAAACATAATTACCCAATAATAGTATCCAACAATAGCCGAGTCAATTTCTTCCTTCTATTTTTTTTGTTTTACCCTTTGGCCTCTCTGGATGAAATTTTGGTTGGTGGTGGTGAATGTGATTGTATGCTTAGAAACAACAACAAAATGGGAAAAACACAAGTTACTTCATATTCTAGGTGTTGTGCACTCAAATTAGTTATCATTCTCTGAACTGCTGCTGATGGCTGCTTTTTCTCCATGGAGTCTGTTTTTTTTCTTTCCCCAACTTTGTTCTGGATATTTTGTACCTTTTTTGCTTGTGCACATAGAACTTTTTTACTTAGTTGTCTTTGAATAAGTAATAGAGTTTCTCATTTCAGTTTATTATAGGAAGTGGTAACAACATGTCCGACTTTACCTACGTTGAGAATGTTGCTCATGCCCTTATCTGTGCGGATGAAGCTCTAGATTCTCGGATGGTTTCAGTATCTGGAAAGGTATCCATAGATTTTGAATTTTATTTCGATATTTTTTTCCTGTTTTAAATTTTAGTTAGATTTATGGAAAAGGAGAAAATTCTTTTATGATAATTTGCAGGCATTTTTCATCACAAATCTTGAGCCAGTGAAGTTCTGGGAATTTGTCTCTCGCATATTGGAAGACCTGGGTTACCAGAGGTAATGAATTGATTGTTTAATGTGTTGTTTTTCCAGACTGGGGGGTGGGTGCGGATTGTTTGGGGGAATAAACTCTGTTGTAAGAGAATTTGCATTGTGACAATGATTTTGAAAGCTGCCCATGCATTTTGGAATTTATATTCACATGGTTGTTGGATTTTTAAATATGCTATCACCTACCCTGTTAATTTTTTATTTTATTTTATTTATTTTTTGTAATTGAACCAACCATCAATGTGTCCAATGTGTCGTGATTTCCCTATTAAACTTTCTTTTTTCTTCTGTGGGTTTTTCCCTTCTTCCTTCTTTCTATTTGTTATTATTATTATTTATTTTTAAAATGTTGTTCCTAGTATTATTATTTTATTAGCTGGAGGTCCTTTCATATACAGGCTAATATCGCATCTGTGGGTTAAACTGCTCGATGATGTTACGCGGCCTCAATCATTGTTTGACTCAATATTTGCATAGCTTTTAAAGATTGTGCCTAATTGCTTGTAACACATAAGCAACATTTTTATATTTGTCTACTGTTGCTCTTCTGACTAGCCATTTCCTTTTTGAAAAATGCCATCATGCTAGAATATTGTGTTGGTGTTGGGCATTGGCGGCAACCTTTGTGTGAACAATTTGGAAGGGGCGAAACGCTAAGTTTTTCGAAAATAAACCTTTTGATCCTGGGTTAATTAGTAGGGTCAGTCACTATGAGCATTTGTGATTTTAAAATTTATTTTGGGAATATAGAAACCTCTGGAGTCAATCAATACAGTCAGGCTATGTTCTCCAATACGTTCTCATTGTTCAAGGTTAATGCTCTGATTTTAATATTTAGTCTTGTTAAGTGAGCTTTTTGGGCAGTGAAGCCTTAAGAGGCAATCATGATTGCTTACTGTTGGATTGCTCATTCAGGTGCAAAAAATGTCATCAATGCTTGCCAAGAGTGCAAAGTCAAGCGACTAATTGACAACAGTTCCGCAGATGTAGTTTTTGACGGTTCATATGATATACATAATGGAGATGAGTCCTTGCTGTATGCTTGGAAAGTATGCCTCTCTTTTACAGTTCTTCATATGTTTTATAGAATATCTCTTAGGATCTTTCCTCCCACTAAGCATCATCCTTTTTCCCCCTCGTCATGTGTACCTTGTTAAAGTTTGAGGACATGTTGACTGACTTAAAAGCTCAAGCAGAGGCACTGTTCCTGTTTGCTAATGATATTGATGGCCTTCTGACATGTGCACTTCGTCCTAGCAATGTATTTGGACCTGGTGATACAGAGATTATTCCGTTCCTTGTGAATCAAGCAAAATTTGGCTGGGCAAAGGTTTGAAATTTTCTTTTGTACTTTATTTATATGTGGTTTTGTTTTCTTAATATTTCACCATGTTTTGTAAACTTTGTTTTGCTATTGAATATAATGGACTGCATATTAAATTTTGGTTGAAACATAATTACCCAATAATAGCAGAGTCAATTTCTTCCTTCTATTTTTTTGTTTTACCCTTTGGCCTCTCTGGATGAAATTTTGGTTGGTGGTGGTGAATGTGATTGTATGCTTAGAAACAACAACAAAATGGGAAAAACACAAGTTACTTCATATTCTAGGTGTTATGCACTCAAATTAGTTATCATTCTCTGAACTGCTGCTGATGGCTGCCTTTTCTCCATGGAGTCTGTTTTTTTTCTTTCCCCAACTTTGTTCTGGATATTTTGTACCTTTTTTGCTTGTGCACATAGAACTTTTTTACTTAGTTGTCTTTGAATAAGTAATAGAGTTTCTCATTTCAGTTTATTATAGGAAGTGGTAACAACATGTCCGACTTTACCTATGTTGAGAATGTTGCTCATGCCCTTATCTGTGCGGATGAAGCTCTAGATTCTCGGATAGTTTCAGTATCAGGAAAGGTATCCATAGATTTTGAATTTTATTTTGATATTTTTTTCCTGTTTTAAATTTTAGTTAGATTTATGGAAAAGGAGAAAATTCTTTTATAATAATTTGCAGGCATTTTTCATCACAAATCTTGAGCCAGTGAAGTTCTGGGATTTGTCTCTCGCATATTGGACGACCTAGGTTACCAGCGGTAATGAATTGATTGTTTAATGTGTTGTTTTTCCAGACTGGGGGGTGGGTGCGGATTGTTTGGGGAATAAACTCTGTTGTAAGAGAATTTGCATTGTGACGATGATTTTGAAAGCTGCCCATGCATTTTGGAATTTATATTCACATGGTTGTTGGATTTTTAAATATGCTATCACCTACCCTGTTAATTTTTTATTTTATTTTATTTTATTTATTTTTTGTAATTGAACCAACCATCAATGTGTCGTGATTTCCCTATTTAACTTTCTTTTTTCTTCTGTGGGTTTTTCCCTTCTTCCTCTGTCTTTCTATTTGTTATTATTATTATTTATTTTTAAAATGTTGTTCCTAGTATTATTATTTTATTAGCTGGAGGTCCTTTCATATACAGGCTAATATCGCATCTATGTGGGTTAAATTGCTCGATGATGTTATGTGGCCTCGATCATTGTTTGACTCAATATTTGCATAGCTTTTAAAGATTGTGCCTAATTGCTTGTAACACATAAGCAACATTTTTATATTTGTCTACTGTTGCTCTTCTGACTAGCCATTTCCTTTTTGAAAATGCCATCATGCTAGAATATTTACTGAAGCAATGACAAATCCATATTGACCTCATTTTTCTTTTTGAATGATTATGATGGTTTTCTCATATTGCTCCCTGAACTTGATTCCCCCTATTCTGCTTACAGACCCATGATAAAACTTCCAGCTACATTGGTCTGGTATACTGTTTTGCTTGTTAAATGGATGCATGCAAAAATGGCCTCCACAAAGCTTAACGGTTCTGCACCATTGCATGGTGTTGTTCGATTAGCATTGCGCACAAGTACGTTTAACTGCTCTGCAGCTCAAAAACATATTGGATACTCACCAGTTGTCTCCTTGGAAGTAAGTTTCTTAATTGGGTATTTCACGATTATCTAACCTTGCTCTCCGCAATAACAATGATGTTGCTCAAGCTCCATAAGAGACTGGAATGTAAATCTAAGCCGTTGCATATTTTGTCTTGTATAAAGTTATATCTGTTGATTCCTCTAATTTATGCTGCTTCTTTCCTGATTAACATATGGCCAGCATATGAATACAGCTTTTGCAACTCTATTTGAAGAAAATCTGCAGGGATTTTGCTTCTTTTTAAAAAATAAAATAAAAATAGGGGCGGAGGCGGTTTGGTGTTGGACTCATCATATTTATTATCAGGATGCAAGTGTTTCCAGTATAGTACTTTTTCTCGTACTTGGGTAAATGAAAAGCATATGCATTGATTGAGGAAAAAATGTTGTTTTTTATTTTTATTTTTATCTTGATACTTTGGTAAGAGTCTACTGTTTGACGGCTTCTGCTTTCCAATCTGATAATGTAAAGCTTAGAAACTCTTTAAGGTAGACTCTATGGTAAAATAAAAATAGGGGCGGGGGCGGTTTGGTGTTGGACTCACTAAGGCCAAGTTTGGCATGCTTGAAAAAAGATAGAAAGTCAAAAAGTCACCATCTTATTTAAGTCACATCATCTTATTTAAGTCACATCACCTTTCTAACACATCACTTCAAACCCAATCCATATTTCATAAAAAGTAAAAAAGTATACTTATTTAGATCATCCCAAACAACCCCTTATTATCAGGATGCAAGTGTTTCCAGTATAGTACTTTTTCTCATACTTGGGTAAATGAAAAGCATATGCATTGATTGAGGAAAAAATGTTGTTTTTTATTTTTATTTTTATCTTGATACTTTGGTAAGAGTCTACTGTTTGACGGCTTCTGCTTTCCAATCTGATAATGTAAAGCTTAGAAACTCTTTAAGGTAGACTCTATGGATAGATCTTAGAACCTCATTAAGGTCTTCTTGAAGTCCTTCCTAAAAGAAGTTAATTGAGTTTCATAGTTGAAGAAGGAAGCAAACATTTAAGGAGCAATTTTTTAATCAACATGTTCAATTGTCTCTAAAAACACTTGCTTATGTTACTAAATAGAAACTTCCATGCTAGATGAAGGATTTCATGAACTTATTAAGACTTAACCATTCCAATAAAGAAAAGACTTGACAGAACATAACCAAAACCCCCCCACAAAACTAGACTCTGAAAAATGACAACTAATTGGTAAGATTTCCAAGTACCTCTAATTTAACAAACTATGACTTTGCCAAATCAAATCAGGTGCAGGAAAACATTAGGTGGATTCCCACACCCATTTTAAGTAGTCTTCAAGCATGTTGTATATATGGTGGTGCTTGTGCTGGTGCTGGTGCTGGTGCTGGTGCTGGTTCTGGTTCTGGTTCTGGTTCTGGTTCTGGTTCTGGTTCTTTCTTGGGGCCCATATGGCTTCTTCCATTTTTCCTCCTGGGCATATTCCAATTTCCATAATTAGAATTAGTTGGGGTTGATTGCTACTTGAACAATTATATTAATTTGCCTTTCAGAATATATTTTAAAAAAAAGATGTCAGAAGATTGCTGACACTGATATAAATTCTAATTTCAATATTTTATATGCATTGACTAAACATAAAAACAAATTCTGTTGTTATTATGTTTTAACATATTAATTATAATTATGGAAATTGTATATCTGAATGAGTCTTTTGTGTGTGATTGTTCAATATACAGGAAGGGGTCACGTTGACCATTAAATCATTCTCTCATTTAGCCAGGGACTCATCTTTTGGAAGACATAGCAATTTTGATGAACATTTAAAAGCAGAAAAGCTGCTAGGCAGTGGGAAAGGTAGGACTTTACTTGTTATACGTTATAATAAGCTCTGTAATGATAGTGCTTTGTAATGATAGAAGCTTATGCTTTAACACTCCAAATTGCAAAAAGTACACTTGGGTGGAAGCTTCATTGAGTTGAACTGGTTGCATTTATTAATACCTGTGACTCTGAATTTTATGTGCTTCATGTGGACATAATTTGACAATAAACATATATACAGGTTAATGCATATTATTAGGTCAGCATTGTCCTCACTAGTCGTAACCCTGGCTAGCTGTAGCTGGGCCCTACCACGTTAAACCAATCTGTCTGTGAACCCTTATGCCTGAGCTTGGCCAAAAAAAAAAACCATTTAAAATCTTACACAATAAGGAACACCAGGGACGTTGTTTTCTATTGTTCCTGAGACCCACATGTTTCAAGTTATGTAAAATTAGGACCTTAGCAAGAAGCATTTCATGCATCAACTCGTTCAGCTATAGTAAAACATGCCAAAAGAGCATTATGGTAACATCTCTAAACAAGTTTTTGAACAATGCAACATTTTTATTGCATTCAAACATTTTCTAGGTGATGCTTAAAAGTTTCAATTATATGAACTCGGAATATGCTTTGCATTATAAAATTCTTCACTTGTCTATGTACAGACACAGATTTTCTTTGTCTCAGAGAATGACCTTTTATGTTGTTGCAGTTGCAAATATTTTGTTGTGGAGGGATGAGAAGAAGACATTTACATGTTTTCTTGCTCTGGTTCTGCTATATTACTGGTTTTTCTTTTCTGGAAGAACTTTTACCTCGTCTGCAGCGAAGGTTCTTCTGCTTGTTACAGTTACCCTATTGGGTCATGCCTTTTTGCCATCAAATATGTGAGTATTTGATTTATATAGCATGGGTGCACTATTAAGGCTTGAGGGCAGATATTTATGCTTTTATATTTGTAACACAATGATTTCTCAGAGGCAAACCTTTTGCTCAATGCTTGTTTTGTTGGTGCTTCTTCTTTGTTTTCTTTTTCTTTTTTTCTTATCTTTTGTGGCAGTCAAAATTTGTAGTTTTTTTAAAGGCTGCTCATGAGTTGTTTTTACTCTTACAGATTATATGGTCTTCGTCCTTGTTTTATTCGTCATGCAAATACATCATCTCAACTTAGCATATTACAATCTAATCAAATAGAATAGTTAATAGTTAATACAATAGTGTTGAATAGGATGCAATCATGTGAGCCTAATAGTAGCATTAACTTTCTTGTGTTTGGCTTTTGAGGTTTCCAAGCTTAATTTTGACCCATGGCTGTCTGTTGATTTGTATCCTTGTTTGATGGTGAAAATGTACTCTTACAAATTATTGGCAGTTTATTGACTAGATGCTTTTGCAACAGACTTGGTTTCACTGTTGAGAGGATTTCTTCATCTTCTTTTGAGATCTCAGAAGTGGATATGACAAATTTAGTTGCAGCCATAGCATGTATGTGGAACAGAGTGGTTCATGTCACAAGAGCATTGGCCCAGGGAGAGGATTGGAATCTATTCTTCAAGGTATGTAATGGCTTCCTCAGTGCTTGTTCAATGTTGTCTAAGTCTGCATGCCTAGTGCCTACACCCTCTACACTGATTTCATATCTTCTTCCTCTTTTTTGTAATTTAATGAAAGGATCTAGGCCATGATGATATTCTGAAATGCAGAGTATTGCTTTCTATTCTGAAATAATTCCAATTATATTCATATTAATCAGGAAAAATCTGAGAGGTGCCTTCTTGTGGGTACTTTATTCAAGTAGGAATACAGCACAAGAGGGTGCCATTTGTTGTGTACTTATCTAGACACTAAAATTGAATAATGTTTTCGTGAGGGGTGAGAAAGCATTTGCTTGGCTGTTGAGTAACTGATTCCCCAGCTGAGGTTATTGGGCTTGATGCAAAGAGAAACATGCCCTAGATGGTGTGCATTTCTTGGTCTTGTAATCGCTTACCTGGGTGGACTCTTCCTGTCTCAAAATGCCCTTAAGAATGTGATTAACAAGTGTCTGGCTGCATGACACATGATGGAGGCATCATCTTTGACTTGTTTTCTCATGCTCTGCCTGCTGAAGCAGAGTCTCTAGATTGTCTTGCCATGGAAGATGTAAGCAAAATAGATTTCCAAGAATATCTGAGGAAGGGGAGAAAGCAAGGATGGAAAGCGTTTGAAGTAGGAAAAATAGAGAGAGAGAGAGAGAGAGAGAGAGAGAGAGTGACAGACGATCAATCCAACCCAGCAGTCTTTTATTTAATCCACCATACCTGTCAAGTCTGATCGAATTATTAAGTATACAAAATGGCATTGTGGCTGCTACAACTCAATAGGTGATCTACCAAGATACCTATGACTCCTAACAGCATAAGAAAACTTACTTGTAGCAATTTAATTTATAGGACCATAAATATAACTCAATTATTTGGGCAAAATTGTCTTAATTTGTAGAATGCTTTTTATAATTTTTCCTCATAACGGAGAAAACCTTGAGCTCAACTTTTGTTTTGCTAAGCACGAGAGTTCCACAACTTCTAACTTGAATCCAAGTGTGAAATTTTGGAGAAACAAAGACCATCCCAAGGAGTTTATCTTTCTCATTGTTCCATTCATTTCTCTGGAATAATGAAATCAAATATTGGAATGGCTTCCATGTCACGAAAACAATTATAATGCTGATGAACATTTATGGTTGGTGCTGCGAAGTCTACGAATGTTTGCTGGAACACTTTCCAATCTCCATACTGCTAAATCTAGTGCATCATTTCTCGTGTAATTTCCTTAAGGTTGTGTTTGGTTCATGGATTTGGGGAGGGATTTGAATATGGAAAGAGAAAAGTTGTATAAAATTAGGTGAAATGTAGGTTTATTGTATTCACATTTAACCGTCCTTTTCTCTTTTCCTTTCCAAATCCCTCCCCAAGTCTTGAACCAAACACAACCTAATGAAATGTTTTGTAAAGTTTTAGAAATGGCTGCTATTTGTGCATTAGCTTCTAAGCTATAATTGGGATAAACGAGTCTTTGACTGAGGAATCATCATCTTTTCTTTTTCTTTTTTTGTTTTTGTTATTGCTGATGTAATAATGATTTTACTGGAAACTGATGTGTTTACGGAGTTTTAGTTGAAGAGGCTTAAATATACTACTTAAAATCTGTTTACCGCAGATGGCCGTATCTCTCTATTTTCTAAAGGTGATCTCCTCCCATTACTTAACAGAAGCTATTGGTGTAGGTATGGAATATTGGTCTCACCATTTCAGAAATGCTTGATGATTTATATTTTTTATTCTTTAGTTGACTATTTTAAAAATAAAATGTAGGACTGGTCCTTGCATTCACCTCGTTCTTTGTTTATGAGCAATACGAGGAAGAAATTGACGGAATTGTGAACTTTCTGCTCAATGCTATGAGGACAGCTATGGTGTTGTTGATGGATAACCTACCCGTCTCTGTGACCTCATTTCTTCGTAATACCGAAATGTTGCATGAAAATAGAAACTGTGCTATGGAAAAAGATTGACAATAACTGGTTGAAGGAAGCTTATTTGCAACTGTAAATATTTGAACATGCGAACTGATGATGAAGTCCTTGTACAGGATATATATAGGTGGGGCATGATAGTAAAATTGCTGCTTTCTTCATTTGCTTAGCCTGAGTAGTTTAGTTTGATTTCAGAAAACCTCATTGTCATTGATGTGGATATCATACAACAATTTTTTGTCACTTAAGCTACGGATGTGATCTAACTTCATATATATGTGTGTGCGCGTGCGTGCGCGCATGTGTGTGCCTATGCATTTTCTTACACGGGATTTCTCTCTTTTCTCTCTCTGTGCCTGTTCACTTTATTCAGTTTTCAGTTCATTAGATGTCATTGCCCTCCCAAATTTTATAGGATTTGTTCTCAATCTCATTGTTATCGTGCCTGAATTTTTGTGATTTCAATCTGATTAATTGAAATATGTAATATTTTTTCTAGGGTTTTTATTTGATCATTAATGATGCTGACGGCTAATGTTTGATCAACAATTGGTATCTTCAAGAATTGAAAAAAAAGTAAGGGAAATTCATTTAAATTATAGTTGTAATAGTAAAAATTGAAATATCTTATTCAAGTATATGTATGAGAAGCTTTTTTGTATACATTCTAAAATGTTTGTAATATATAGTTAATCTTGAATTATGCACGGCCTTTCATATATTTGTCTTCTTACTTGTGCTGCACATTTCACATTAGTATATTGCCCCCAGATACCCACTAATATGGTGTCAAGTCAAGTGACAAATAACATCTTGAATTGAAGTAAAATCTTATCTGTCGCAAAACTTTAATTATCGATCTTTATGAGTTCTACCTATAATATGTATTGGATGAGAATGGGATAACAAAGTATAATTTGGGATAACAAAGTATAATTTTATTCTTAAAATATGTTCAGGTGTCGAGCAAGTAAGCATTTTCTGTTCAAAAAACAAGATGCCCATTTTCGATTGTCCAGGATTGACACTATTTACCAAATTCTTGGTCAAATTGACAATGTGTTAATTATAAGGGCCAACAATGTAATTTGCCCTTTATATTTTATTAAAATTTAATTTATTTTTTTTATTTCAATCAAATTTATATATTTATCTTACTTCTAAAGTTATGTTTGGTACGCAAAAGTGAAATGAGAGTGAGAATTATATATAAAGTTTAATGAAAAGTTGAATGCTCATTATCATTTTGTTTCTAATATAAAATCTTAGTCCCATGTTTAGATATATCTATTAAATTGACGGAATGAAATGAATTTTTTATTATTAACCTTCAATGATAGTGTTATTCGTTGTGGTGGTGATGATGCGGTGGCACTAGTAGCAATGGTGGTGAGATCGGCGACATTAGTTTTGTGTGATGCAACAATGGAGGTAGGGAGATAGTGGTGGTTATGGTGGTAATGTTGGTGGTGGCCATGATTACGATGGTAGGGTGGTGGTCTATTTTATAAGGTTTAAAATTTTTACAGTTGTGCTTGTTATGTCAACCAACAAACTTTGGTATAGAAAAAATTATAATTATTAAAATACCTCTAAGTATAGTTAAAGGTCATGACTAGAAACAGCCGATTTCACTTGGTGGGCCGAAAATGCCCAACTTATCAATTCCTCCTCTAGGTCTTGTGGATTAGTCCGCTTGAGCGTGGAGCAACGGAAATATTTTGATTCCAATCAATTTTCCTCTAAATTTCATAATTTATCTAGTAATTAGTTTTAAGAAATATTTTGATTATTTGTTCAAAATCGTGCATAGCATCCATTTATGCTAGTTTGTCATTATACTGGAAGAAACTTTGTTTGTCATTATGGTAGAGGAAGAGGAAACTTTTTGGTTTCGGGTTAAGAAATTTTCGTTTTTATCATAATATTAGTATTTGTTTTTGGCACATGTAATACGTGTGTAATTCAAAAAATAAAAATAAAATAAATGATAAAAAAATTAATATTAGAACATGTATAGTAATTAATTATTAATATTCAATTTCATCGCTAAAAATATAATAATAACACTTTTGTCAATTAAAATATTTTCTTCCTAAAAAATGATTTCATTCCTAAATTTTTGTCTCTACAACATTAATTTCTTGTTGTACTAGTTGCTACCTTGAAACTAATTTGCTAATAGTTATATTAGTAATGGTGAGGGTGATGGTGGTTACCAATTAATCAAGTTCAAAATAAACAATCACATAAAAACACAGATCATGAAGTTTGACAAGCAAATCCAGAATAAAAATGAGTGTGTTTGGTTTGAGTTCTTTGAATTAAGTTTTTTGAAAATTGAGTTTTTTTGTTTTCGTATTCTTTTGTTTTTAGTGAATATTTTTTAAATTTTAAACATTTTATTTATTTTTTTAGATGCACCTTAGTTAGATGTATTTAAAAAGTAAAAAATTTGTGAAAAAATATTTTAAAAAATTAATAAATACATAGAAATACAAAAAATGTACTGAATTCTTGTATTTTTTATATATTTTTGGTATTTGGTGAATTTTTAAAAGATTTTTTTTATATTTTTTTTTTACTTTTTAGACACACCTAAAATAACAACGGAATTTGAACATAAACAACGGAATTGGAATGCACTTACAAAATCATTTTAATAAAAACATTGTAATTAAAATACAGAAAATAACATCCAATTACATGGTTCATTTACTAACATGAAAGACAAAGTTCAGAATATTGCTTTAATATATCGTGTTCATTATAAATGTATGCAAACCAATTTAAATGTTCATACTTTACATAAGAGTCCCAAAGATAAAACTCTATTAATACAAAGTAGTAGTAATCCTGGCGAATCACATATTAATGTTCCTCAAATGATTAAATGGAAAAATATCGATTTACCTGATCAATGGATCGCTGTTAATGAAAACTACAAACATAATCAACAACAATCCTCAATTCAAGATATCCAAGACATTCATCAATTCAATGATGGTTCTGTACGCATAAAATTCAATCGTAGTCAATCCTCTCGACATAGTACATCCAGTGTTCCAACTGAAATTGAAACTGAAGATGAAATATTTAATACTCCCTTATTTCGCAAAAATAGTAAACTATATCTTGGTCAAACTGGTCAACCTTCTCTACATAAATTAAAAGGAATAGATAATACTACCTCCTCTCAAATTAGTAAACCTGTTTATTCTACACATACTCATTTACCTGAAGAAGAAATTGCTTCTAATAATTCTCCAACTCAAACTGATTTTGAAGAATTTATACCACCCGTTAATCCTCAATTAATGACAATCAAAAAGGAATTTAAACCTGATCTAGATAAATTACTTATTGACTTTAAATCTACGAAAAATAGAACCCAACGACATGCTTATTATGCTCAATACAATTCTACTCAAATGTCTAAAATTACTCGACAATGGTATGATTTTATGATTGAATATGGTTCTGAATTACCTCTATTAGAATATGTAGACAAATATTACAAAAAGATTAATACAATAACCAAACATAAATGGAAAACTTCTGATACTACTTCTGTTAGTTCTAGTCATCCTCCTTTAGAAAAAATAATTCTTAATCAACAAGGTTCAGAGATCCCTGCTTCTCCTTTCAAATTACCTGGAAATGATAATGAGATTAAAAAGGTTATTGAACAAAATAATTACACTAATCAATGTTTAAACACAATTGGTAAACAATTAGACAAAATAGAAACCAATTTGGAATCTGTTCACACTACAAATACTAAACAACCTTTAGAGCCACCTTTATTAAATCTACCTAGTAATCGTTCTAAACGAACCAGCTTAGTAACCAATGATCAATCTACCGTTAAGGCTATTGAAAAATTATTTACTAAATTATCTACCTTTGATAATGCTTCACCATCTAAAGAAAAAGGTCTTACTGTTTTAAATCAACAACCTCCAATTCAACCTGTCTCTACCTATTCTGACACTGAAACTACTGATAATGAACTCAATCAATTAACTCAACAATTTCAATCTTCTACTCTAAATAAAATTCATTATCCCAAAGTTAACCCACACACTACTAAAAACTGGTATTCTAGACCTACTCCTGTTGATCTTCAATTTGAAGAAAATAATCTTAATAATCAATTTTCTGTCTCTGCCAAAAAGTTATACGAATGGAATATTGATGGTCTTAGTGAAGATCAAATCCTCCAAAAATTAAATCATCTCTCCACGGTCGCTAATAGCTACCTTAGTAATTATCCCCATTATACTCAACCTGAAATTGTTACATTAATTACTTCTGGTTTCACTGGTATGCTCAAATCTTGGTGGGAAAAATATTTAACCGGAGAACAAAGAGAATCTGTAATTTACGCTAATCAAACCGATGATAATGGTTTACCTATCTTTGATGAAAACATTGGATGTTGCCACCCTGATGGTATTAATGTTTTAATTTATACAATTGTTCAACATTTTATTGGTACTCCAACTAATATCTTTTCTCGCATACATGATCAACTTAGTAATCTTACTTGTCCTACTTTAAGTGATTTTAGATGGTATAAAGATGTATTTACCTCTAGAGTTATGTTAAGAGAAGACTGTACTAAATCATTTTGGAAAGAAAAATTTATTAATGGATTACCCAGTTTATTTGCTCACAAAATTAGAGATGTCCTTAGTCAACCTACTGGTGTTATAGAATATGATAATTTAACCTATGGAGATATAATTAGCACTATTCAAAAAGAATGATTAAAAATATGTATTGATCTTAAACTTAGTCAAAAAGCCACTAAAGATAAACACAAAGCTAAATATGAATTAGGAAATTTCTGTGAACAATATGGTTTGCCTCTTGTAGCACCCTCTCATAAGAAATCACATAAATATTCTAAGCATAAATATAAATCCAAATATTCTAATAAATACAAAAAGAATTATTCACCTTTCAAATCCACTGATAAATTTTATACTAAACCCAAAAAGAAATATTACAAAAAATCACATTCAAAATCTAAGTCTAATAAAGATATAACATGTTATAACTGTGGTAAAAAATGTCATTATTCTAATAAATGTAAAGAGAAACAAAAATTAAAAGATAAGATTAATCAATTACAAATAAATGATGAATCTAAAAGTCAAATATTTGAAATCTTTTAATTAAATCAATCTGTTAGTGATTCCTCTTCTACTAATATTGAAATGTCCTCTAATGATTCAACCAATACTGATTCTGATAATGATAATATAACATTAGGATGCAATGATGTTTGCTGTAAACCAGTTAAACAGATTACTGTTCTAACAAAATCAAATCAAGAAGAAT